ATGCTTGAATCTCAGTCACTTCTCATGAGAAAGAGAGGTCTCACCCAGGTAAATATTTACACAATAGTATCAGCATGTCACCTGAAAAAAGTGTTTCTCGACCTAGAGATTCTTGTTTTTACAACAGAAACATGTTTTTTCCCCCACCATGTCACAGTTCAAGCCTCTCACACTTTCTTTTTGCAAAGCAAACCCTTACCTTTCACAATCTCTGGAGGTTTCCTTCCCACAGAAACGGTGTCTGCCCAGCAGATGCACTCTGAGTCCTGGGGCTGTACTGACCTGCCTTCAAAAGCCTGAACTCAGTAACCCTGCCCATCAACCAACCTCACTGTATAAAACAGGCTGTCTACGAGGCTTCCAAAGCAGGGCCAAAAGCAACAGCCTAGTGAGTAGGATCATGTGCAATCTTGGATCCCCTGCCACAAGACAAAGCTCTCCTTAAGATGGGAAGAAAAGCAACCGGGAATTTTGTAAATTCAGAAATCCTTACTTGCCTTCACACACCCGAAAGCACAGCAGCAAAGATTTTAAGCATAGTATCCTGAGGGCAAGAGGAAAAAAATGTACTCTTTGTTCTAATATTGCCTGTAAAGCTTTCCTTTCATGGGCACCTGAAGGAGTACAAGAGTGACAGGATTAATGTGCTTCCCTAAATAATAGGGAAGCCAAAGTCTTCCCTCCTGATTCTCGAAGGGCACTTATAGAAGATGCAGGTAAACAGCCTTGGACTGCTAAAGGCACTTGGAAGATGAGAAAATAAGACATTTCAGACTCTCCTGACATAACACTATCAACTATTAATGCATCACAAAATATCATAGCTTTCCTCTAAAATGAGGTAGCAAAGGTCACCGTGGATGGGGAACACCAAAATAATTTTTGGTTATAGTCAAAATACCAGAACGTGGACTTAACTGAGTAAGTCAAGTTTGAAGTTCATTTGAACTTACAGGTCTAGTGGTATATAAAACCCCTTCACAACTCCTCAGCTTCAAGAGATTATTTCCCACCTACCCCCCTTAACTTCCCTAACCTTTCTAATATATTTTAAGAGGTATTGGCTGTTTTCTGTCCCGTATCTTATACGCAGTATTTCAGATTTAGATAAATACACACCAAGTAATCTGGGACAATCCTGGAATATAAAAGCCTAGCTTGCAAAGAAATTTTAGACTCATAAAAATTCATAGCATTCAAAAAGCCAGATGACATGCTCTCTCTCAATACAAATGAGATTTTTAATAGCAACTCAAATAGGTTTGCAAGACTCTGACTTCTAACGCTTCAAGGGTAACGTCTGAGACTGGCTTGAAGTACAATTCGATAATTTTTCTACTGCAGAGACAAGCCTGAAGGCCTTGAACCTTCTTTTTGTTGTATGGACAGGCAGCTTTCAAAATGAGGTAGGAAACACTTTAGGCAACTATATTACGATAGATCCGAATGAAAAGTTGACTTTATCAATTGTGGGTTGTTTTAAGGGCTGCAGAATGAGTGGTTATACTTAGCAAGTAGAAGGAAAAATATGCATTGACATCTAACAGGCAAAAAGAAGGGATACAAACAGACCAAGCCTCAGGAAATTCTACACCAGCTTTCTAAATTATGGGGGGCCCACAGGGAAGATTTCTATTGAAAATAATCAGAACTCATAACAAAAATAACTTCAAGATTAAAGGAAAAGCAAAATGCTGCTCTTCCAATACATGAGGGGAATCCAAAGTTTTGCAAGTTCTATTCTCTCTAGGATGTATCTAGTGGAGTGTGAACTAAAACTTCTTCTACGCTCTCAGAAGCTAGATGACCCAGGTCATATGAGACCTTGACCCTTTGCTGGAATTTAGTCCATGGTATTTGGCAACATGCTGATGAGAAAGACAAAAAAGCAACAGACTTACACCAAAATATATTGTGTCACATTTCTTCCCCTCTCTCCCCCAAAAAAGCCCCCAAACGGTGTCTAATAAATTATTAGTAGAAATTTCTGATGTAAAGCCATCAACCCAAAACTCTCTTTGGTAACATTATATTTAACAATAACTGGATAACACAACACAGATTTTTCAATGAGGGTAAAATACAACTTACAAAGTATCTTTTTAAGGGGTGATTTTTAAAAAAACATCCAGATATATCAATTCTTTTATAGGTACTTAATGGGATTTTTCAAAGGTAATTAGACAGACAATTAAAATGAGACAGCTAGGTACCTAGGTATCATGATATTCCTGGAATGCATTTTAATACTTTCAAACATCTGGTTCTTAAGAATATTTTTAACCAATATATTACTGAATTTGGTTAGTTATCTGTAGAAAAATAAAGACAATCTGTGCACCAACAGGCTCTTTCATATGGTAACATTTCACCACAGACCACCATGCAGACTACTGCTACTGCAAAAAGTAAACACATGCTCAATTATTTTAAAATATCACTCAATGTTTTGCATATAAAGATGAAAAGGGTAAGGACTAGAAGGCTGCAGTGGTTATATTTTTCTGATTTTAAGCTGACATTCTCCACCTTTGAAGTACAAACTCATGAAACCTACCAACACGGAGAAGGGGTCCAACGGCAGCCTGAAGGAGGGGAAAGGTGCCCCAGTCCCAGACAAGTCATTTGACAGTTTTGAGTGCAGGCAAGCAGGAGCGGGGCTGATGCAGGGCACCACAGCCCCCCCCAACCTCCTGCAGGAAGCCTGCATCTCAACACTACCACACACTGCAGGAGAAGGCACTGTACTTTTATTTCACCTTCTTGAATGCTGTGCTATATGCAGCAATAGAAAATCCACCACGTGCCATGGTGGTATGCTGAACAAAGAAGAGAGATGAGCCTAATCCCATAGAACTGCTGTTTTAAGACACAGTTTTGTCATTTTTAATCACAGCGTTAGACTCTCAAGCATAAAAATTTCAACTCATGCTACTTCAGACTATACCTTTAATATTTAAGTGATATCTATTCAAATCCAATTAAACTTGTAGTATTAAGAAAGATTTTGTTGCTTGTGGTTGGTCCTAACAAGGTATCAGAATATTATAGAGAACATCTAAAGTAACAAATTAGGTATGTACTAAAATTAAGTAACAATAGTTGACAACACCTGGAGTTTAGGTCAGAGTATATGCTTTTACTCTAACAACTGCAGAATTTTTAGAAACAGCATCAACTCCTCCATTTTCACCCAAGCAATCAGAAGGTTCTTGCTTCCCCCTCTTCACCTTGACTGTGTGGGAAAGGACAGCCACAAAGTCAGCAGCTCTCTCATACTGCATTGCAGTATTAACACTGGACAGAGAAGAAACTTGCATACAAGATTTGGACATGCTCTTCTGATTTAAAGGCAGGAATTTTACCAATAGGGTTATGCTGACATTTCGAAAGAAGCAACGCCCGAGTACTATTTCTGAAACAGCATCACCTTAGTATATAGCAATGGAGAAAAGTATCTTTAAGATGCTATATTCAGCACCAATTTAACTACCCATCTGCAGGGCCAAGGCAGTCCTGGTAATCAAACACAAGATCCCTATCTAAAATACTATGTTCACCTGTAATGCCTCTACTTTGTTTGAAATAACAAGAACTTAATGGTTTTCAGCATTTCTAAAACACCTGTCCATGTAGCAGACTCTTCTGTCTTAGCTATGTCACAGCAGTTTTGCAAAGTTCTTGAAAAAAACGAAAATGGCTGGGGCATATTTGCAAGTAAACCAGAACAGCCTCAGTTTGACTTCTCTTGGCTGTAGTGTTGCTCGTTATTGAAGTATGGCTGACAACATTTTAACCAGGTAATAATATAGCTCTTTATGGTCATACTAACGTTCCTCACTTAGAAGTAACACAGACAACACATATAATGCTCGCACAGCTCTCAGTACAACAACAACTTTTTAAAAGGGTTTTCAAAGCCTGCATTCATTTTAGTGAGGAGCAACCTGCTTTACTAAGAGATTGATTATGTGGCAGTTTAGACTAGTAGCTTCTGCTAGGACAAAGAGCATTCTCCTGGCTCTTTAGTATTTTCTGTAGTTATTTTACAGACAACAGCGCTAGAATAAATACACATAAAAATCTCTAAGGAAAAATATTTTTATAATAAAAATTAATTGCACTTAGCAACCATTTCACTCTACCATGAACATTTAATATGCTTTGAAGGCTAATCTCCACCTAACAGTGCATGCTTTAATGAATTAAAACACTGCAAGACAAGCTATCGATTAAAAAGGAAAAAGAAAAAATAGGAAAATGAATCTGTGCCTCTTGCAACGTCCTGGTTAGAAAGCAAGTAACAAGGATAATCTAGAGTTGTCTTACTGGTCCCTCCGGGATCAAGAATACTGCATCACGAGCCGTTACTTTTACACCACGTTCCTTTAGTCCCAAGCTGAGCCCAAGAGCAGAGTAAACCTTCCCCACCGCCCCGGCAGAGCCGACCGGCACCGCAGGGTGTCCGCCCCCACCCAGCACCCCGGGACGTACCGAGGGC